GGGGGGGGGGGTTGATAAAAAGGAAAGTGGAAACAGAAAAACAGAAAAGAAAAGAAATACTAGCTAAACCCCCTAAGCTCTCATATCGCTTCTTTTCCCGCTAAGGGAATTCATTGCACTGTAGAAAAGACCTTTGTGCCTCCTATGCAACATCATGATCCTCTTGATCCATGTTGGCATCAGCAGGTTGCTCGGCAGCAGCAATAGCAGCAGCTTCAGCAGCCTCGGCAGCCTGGGCCTCCGCCTTGACTCTCTCAGCTTCTCTAGCAATATCAGCGACTTCGATAGCCGCTTCGCCAACTACAGCTTCTTCGACAGCCATCTTGCGTCTCCACACACGAGCCCAGCGAGCACCCCACTGCTGCAACAAAGTCTGCTCAGCACTATCGCCGTCGAAGCGCTCAATCATATCGTCTTGAGCTGCATTGGCCACAGTCTCCACAGCCTCAATGATGGCATTGAACAAATCACGCATGGTTTGGCGCTCGCGGACAAGCGTCTCATCCAGCAAATTCTTCTGCTCCTCGGAAAGATCTGTTTCGTCGCGGGCGCGCACGATCTGGCGCATGCGGTTGCTGACCTTGAACATGGTAGCGGAAATCATTTCGTAGATGTGGGTTTGGGCGAGGGCGCGGCCGTGCTGGAGGTGGTCGTGCAGGGCCCATTCAATGACGCTCATGGGTGTGATGATGGTGTAGTTGAGGAGTTTGTCGATGATGTTTACGGCGGTGCCGGGGTGGTCGGCCCAGTAGTCGATGACGGATGTGATGATTTGGCGACGGGCGAGCTCGGATTCAGGGCCGATGGCGAGGAGGCGCTCCTTGCATCTTTCGATGCAGGACAGGACGTGGGAGAGCGACTTGCTACCGACGGAGCAGATGCTGGTCATGTATGCATCCGTGCTTGGTACAAGGACATCCTCGACGCCGTGTTCGCTGGCTAATGCCTGGATCTCATTGATGACTGCCTCAATCTCTTCTTCGGGAGCCTTTCTGCGGATCAATGCGTGCATGGCGTTACCTTGTTGGGCGTACGGAGTCTGCTCATTCAGATACTTGAAGTCGGGAGTGTCCTTCATCTTGCCCTCGGAGATGAGAGGGGCATAGGCCTCAGGAAGCGTCTCTCTGATACGCTTAGCAAAGGACAAACGAATTTCCTTGTCTAGCGAGCCGACGATGAAAGCCTTTCTGGGTTCGAGATCGGAACGCTCAAGGTCATCAATCCATTCAGCCCACTTCCAGCGGAACTCGAAATTGCTCAAGTGGTGGGCGAACCAGTCCATGTAACGGTATGAGAGCTCGAGATCCATGACATCGAGACTGCGGAAGAGGAAACGGATAGCTCTACCCAAACTTGGCGCAACGGCGGCGGGAGCGATCTTGCATGCCTCGGTGATGACCGAGTGGTAGTAGACGAGCTTGTGTTCCGAGGTAGGCAGGCGCAGGATCTGAGAGAAGACAGCATCGACAACCAAATCTTCGGGCTTCCAGGTCGAACGGCCTTCGGGAACATCCTTGAGCTTGTCAAAAGCGGTGGCGCGCTTGACGAAAGTGTTAGGGGCCCAGTAACAGTCGACATCGATCAGGAACTTTGCAGCAGCGTTTCGGTTGAAGTCGAGGATGTTGATAGTATCCGTGACAGCGTCTCGTAGCAGCGATGCAGCAATGTTGGAGGTGGGAGGGACAGACTGAACATGTTAGTGTTGAGTGACGATCATGGCAAGATGAACACAAACCTCTACGTCTTGGTCGGCGAAAAGCGAGAAGCAGACCTCGGGGAAGAGGGCATTGGGACCGGGGTTGACAGGGGAAGGCACAGAGAATTGGGGGAACGAGTGCTTGCTGGGAGCAGCCTGCTCGCCATTCTCTCCCTCAGCAGGAGCCGGGGCGGTGGCGCGAGTCAGGCGGGGGATACAGGCGAGCTTCCAACCCGAAGCAGCCTCAGCCTGAAGTTGAGTCTGGAGAGCACTAAGGATGCTGGGGCAGGCCATGGGCTTCTGCTCTCCCTCGGCCGCCGGGTAGGGATCAACGAGGGCCTCGAGGGCGTGTGGTGTGGATGCAACAATGTCCGTCTTCTCCAATAACTCAGCGGCGCGTTGTTCTAGTCCAGTGTCGGGTGCGGCCAGTACGTAGGGGATGGTGAAGAGAATGACCTTGACCAGTTCGAGGCCAACAGCATCGTCGGTAGAGGCAGTCTGGAGGTCAACAGCGCGATCGAAGAGCTCATCCAGAATGCCAAAAACTCCATCATCGCTGAACAGAGGTTGTAGACAGGCCAGGAAGCGCAGCAACAGCTTGACGTTGCGCCATTCTCCGGCGTCGAGGTGTCTCTGCAGGAGGATGGCAGTGCGGGCCAAAACCTCAGCGCCTGCCTCGCTCTTGTCGTTGTTTGCGCACAGGACGGAAGCTGCGACAAAGGGAATCTTGAATGGCTGCTCGAGAACCAGAGAAAGGACCAGATCGCAGTACGTCTCCTTGACGTAGTTGTCGTGGTAGTTTTCGGTGACCAGCTTTGCTATCTCCGTCACCTCGTCTTCGGGGTTGCGCATGGGCGATTCAGCCACGGCGAGAAGCTGACGGCGCAGGCGTGTTCCAGGAGGCGCATCTTCGTATCTTCTGCGTTGGGGCCTGCGATCGTAGCCACCCTCATCGTCGTCTGTAAACAAAAAAGGTTAGCTTTGCGATCCATCAGGGCCTTGTTTGGTCATTACCTCTGTTGTAGCGTCTCTTGCGGTTGTTGTAACCGCCGTTTCCTCTCCTGTCGTCGCTCATCTTGTCGGGATCGAATTCGCGTACGCGTTGATGGACAGTATCGCTAGCTATAGGGAACCTGGGAAACTTGTTGTCCGTAAAGCGCGGACCGCGGCCTCTGATTCTGGCAAGTCGTCTTGGCGCTCTTGGAGCTTCCTGTTTTGTGGAGATGGTGAGCTTCGTCAGAACACTCGCAACTTCATCTTCTTCAATCATCCGAGCTTCGCCCATTTCAACATCTTCCATGTCGACATCCTGTCTCTCCCCCTCTGTCAGCTCTTCGTAGCCAATCTTTCTACGAGCCGTCATCAACTGCCTTTCCATCTCTGTCTGTCTGGCCATGATTGTTGATCTTGGAGGTTACTGTTCAGAGATCTTCTTGTTCAATCATGAGCGAGTGTAGACGATTGATGATGAGAAAAGTAGTTGGAGGTGAGAGTTGGAAGGTAGGTAAGCAGCAGAAGTTCCTCGAAGCTAAGAGAGGAGAAAAGGAGGTAGAGAGGTCTGGTTGAGCTTGAAGGAGTAGTTATAGAAGGAAGCACTCGCTGTATGAGAGTGAGGACGAAGAGCATACAGAGTCAAGATGAGAGGCTTTGAAAGTATTTGAAGTGAGGAAATCAGGATAGCACGCATGCAGAACCTTGGTCCGTCGATAGAGAAGCGAAGACTTGATTCCCGACAAGTGACAGCGAGCTCATTGAAACAGACTTGTATCTGTGGTGATGGCTGTCGCAGTACTCCGAGTCAAGGAAGAACGATGGGTACAAGAGTATTGAACGGAATCGCTCGACCGATGGAAGATCTCTTTCGGACAGCACAGTAGGGACGGCGGGTGACAACCACTGTTCTCGATGTCAACTGTAAATGTTGTACTCGTCCAGGTATGGGGATTAGCACTCATACGATGTGCGAGTGGTAACAGTGAAAGGATCGAAAGTTGAAAGAACAAAATCAATTCTGGTCTAAAATCAGATAGCCAACTGCGAAGCAACCATTCACTTTTCGCCCATGTCTGATTGACTGTGCAAGCCTCGTAAGAGCAGATGCTCTAAACAAGAAACAGAAATCAGGTCGAGCATGATGAAAAGGAGAAACAGAAACACGAAGATAAAAGAAAATTTCCTGCGTTACTTAATCCTCATCAAAAGTGCTCTCATTTCCCTGTCCGCTGTGTCAAAGACAGAGAAAAGGGGTCACCGGTCGTTCTGCTCTCATACCATCAACTTGCTTCAACCTCCACATCATAACTTCTTTTCCTCCGACATGCTGACTCTTTCGAGCACCGCCCGCATTCCCCTGATCAGGGCGCAAAAGCAAACAACAACAAAGTCGAAAGGATCATCAATTGATTTGACCATCCATCTCTGCCTTCAGAGATGGAAACAACAAGTGTCGAATCTTTCAAGGAGAAATTCCAACCCAGAGATCTCTATCGCGCCACACTTGGAAATAAAAGGAAGAAAGAAACTTGCTCGGACCGCCCATTCAGCGGGTATAACGAAAGAAAGGAAAGGAAGGGACAAATAAGAAAGTCATCCACAGCGATGCCAGCGGCAGAAGCAGCGGGCAGCATTAGCAATAAAGCAATCACTCCTGGCGACCAGCTTTACTCGACGTCTTGTTTCTCTGTCTAAGCCTAGGCTTGTCCGCTGGACCCGTGTCGTATGCGTAGAAAGAATTTTGAGAGACTCCAGGGTAAGACGCCGGTAAAGCAGACCGCTGATGGGTCGATCGAAGGTCTTGAAAAGTTGAAAAGAGTATGCATCGCTAATTCATGACCTGTGTATAGTTTTTTTGCCGATAGTTTTTCTTTTTGTTGTTCTTTTAATCCAGTCGTGCCATCATGGCATCCTTGGTCATAGGCGTCAAGTTGTCGATATCAAGACCCTTCGCTGCCAATTGAGGACGAACGTGAGCGGGGACGAGTTGGTGGTTCATGTGGGGAGCGATTGAGAGTTCTGGTTCGTGTCAGTAGGCTTCATTGTGGGTTTACAACTTCTTGTCACACTAACCGTGGTGGTTGAAGTTGAAAAGCTCAGGCATGTCCTTGGAAGCACCTCCGGGGTGACGGGAGTCGGGGAATCGGGTGTTGGGGTCCCTCAGCTCGTCGAAGAAGGGATGAACCATGGCCTCAATGGCAGACAAACGCTGTGTCGGTGTGTATTCGAGAAGCTTGGAAATGAGATCGATGGCACTGGGGTCGGCCTTGCGGAAGACCTTGAGAGCGCGTAAGTGAGACATTCGTTCTATACGGCAAGAGAGCAATTACCTTGTTGAAGGGGTGAGGCTTGATCTGGGGGAACTTGTGTTCCATGTAGTTGGGGTTCATGGTGCGGATTTGGTCGCGAGTAGGAGTTCCCAAAACCTTGATGATCTCGACCAATTGATCGATACCCGACTCACCAGGGAACAGGGGCTGACCAAGCATGAGCTCTGCCATGACACAGCCGGTAGACCAGACATCTGTTCGCAATTCGGTCAGCTTTCAATAAATACGGAATGCTGTGTCCTGAACGTACCAATCTTTGTTGTGTAGTTGGTTGCGCCGAAGATGAGCTCGGGGGCTCTGTAGTAGCGCGAGCAAATGTACGAAACGTTGGGCTCGTTCTCGATAAGAATCTTTGCACTTCCGAAATCGCAGAGCTTGAGGATACCGCTGTTGGGGTCGAGGAGCAGATTTTGCGGCTTGATGTCTCTGTGGCAGATTCCCTGGCTGTGGATGTAGGCCAGGGAGCGGAAGAGCTGGTAGATGTAGAGCTTGACCTCGAGGATGGGCATAGTTGTCTTCATCTTATTAAAGTAGCGGGATGCGCGGTAGACAGTTTCGGGCACGAATTCGAGTACGAGATTGAGGTAGACCTCGTCCTTCTGGCGAGCCTACGTTAGTGAATTGGTCGGTGGCCTTGAGTGGTATGAGACGTACGCGATCGCCGTTGGAGTAGTAGAAGGCCTTCAACTCGACAATGTTAGGGTGTCGCACTATCCGCATGATCTGGAGCTCTCTGTTCTGCGCGGGGTCAGTGAAAGAGTCGAGATTGACGAGCTTGGGGGCGAGCGACCTTGAAACGCTTGTCCTGGAGTACACGCTTGATGGCAGCATCTTCGCCGCTGGGCGACAGCTTGGTCTGGAAAACGACACCGAAAGAACCGTTGCCGACGATCTTGCACTGGGTATACTGCATCTCTTTTGTCTCTCCAGTCAGGCCATCCTGAACCTTTTCGCGGATTACCTCTGTACATGGTTAGCACGTGCAAGGTATGAGGAACCGCCAATGGATGGAGTGAGGGCGACGGCGAGCTGTATGGCGGATGCGCGGATGGCAGCAGGGGAGGAAATGGGCAGCGCGGGGGAGGTTTGGGCATCCTTACCGCCCATGCGTAAGCTAGAGAACGCCGAAGGCCTGTTCTGCGACATGATTGCGTATGAAAGAGAGGCGTTGAAAGAATTGGAGCAGGGTCACCGAGGGGTCGGGTGGTGGACAAGGCGAGTTCGTGATGTAGCGGTGGTGGTGGTTGACGAGGTCGGAGGATGCGTCGATGCGGGCCTGTGCTCGGAGCTTGGTGTGTTGACGGGTGTTATGCAGCGATGCGCGAAGACAGCGATTGGGATCTGAGACGAGGCCGAAAGTGAAGTATACCACGCCAGGCAAAGACTACGAGAGCGAGAAATCGATGGCTACTGTGTGGGATCGAGCGTGCGGTCAGCTAAGGCGGTGGAAGTGGGTAGGGCAGGCTATGTGAGAGGGTCGAGCGAGAGTGTCGAGTGTCACCTGCGCCGCGCTTGAAACGAGGAGCACCCACTGTGCACGTGATTGCCTAACTGACAATGTCTTACCTGTAGCTAACTGGCTCTTGTTCCTGGCTGCGAGCTCCGTTCTTCAAGCAGGAGCTGGGATGGACTCGGCGATGTCTTCTAAGGGATGCTCTTTCTGTTTGTGATGGTCGAGCGGTGGTTGAAGGTCGAGGTCCTCTGCCTCTCTTGCCATTTCCCGCCAAACGTTCGTTTTGCCCATCCGCTGCGCACCGCATCCCTCACCCCGCTTTAACCCTCGCCCAATTGTCACTCATCTCATCATGGAGCTAATCCTGACCATGTACGCATGACCTGTGATCGTGCAATCGAGGCTGCCATTAATCGCACCTTTTTTCCAAATGCTTTCACGCCCGTTTGAGCCTCCAATTGGCGACCTGAATCCTCTATACAGCTTCTACGTGATCGCTCTCCTCATCTTTGTTTACCTACAACGAGTCCATTACTGCTGTCACAGCTCTGCGTCTGGCCCTCAACGGCTCCCGGCCAGGAGTTCAATCTCTGCAGTCCATGTGACTTGCTCGCTCGCTAGCGTCGGGCCCAGGCGCTTTGTACTCTCGCTGATTCGTCAGGCTACCCAGTACGCAAGTGGCTGACATGTCTGCCGGCTCCCGCAATTGACCATCTCTCCCTCTCAAGAACATGTCCGCCCAGCCTGCAGATGCATCATGATTCTGGTGACTACTGCTCTGCTTGAACCAATCTTTTCTCCTGCCCGCACCCCGCAGCCACACAGATGAAGGCGGCAGCGCCCCGTCCATGTCACTGCATCGCGTCAAGATGTTGTTAGTGAGGCAGGAATAGCCATGATGCCCTTGACTTCGTCTATTGAGCGAATGCTCGATCGCGACTGCCTCTCAGCCGAACATCACTTCACATGCTGACGATGATCCTTTGTCTGCATCACGAACTGACGCCCAAATTCGCTGGAGATTTGGCTGGTGAAACGGACAATCCTTCCGCTTTTTGTTGAAGGCAGTTCGCTGAATCAAAGTTCGCACTACACCGCAGCCGCATGCTCGTTGACTTGAGCTCTGTTGTTTTGTTCCAGAGTTTCCTTCATTTCGCCGTGTTCCGTCGCCGAGACCTACCAATCCAGTCGCTCTTATTACCATTCTGCTTGCGTTGAACATTCAGCGTTCTAACCACAGAGCCTGGATCTGCAGCAGAATATCACTGTGTTGCTCCATGTCAGAAAGTCCCACGTTCAAGAGCGGAAGCGGAGCTGCGACCCGTTCTTCTCTCTCGAACCGTTGTCATACTCCTCATGAACCACGACTGATACACAATGGCAGCCCCAGATCAACGGAACACCACACTATTTCGGGTCCACTAGCGTAATACTAATGGCTCGTCGTTGTCCATCAAAAGGCCGATTGACGACAAACAAACAGCAGCTGTCCTGATAAATTAATCACAGTGAAAACGCACGTATACGCAGCAAAGTGCTGTCAGTCTTCGGTTACAAGTCTGCTTCTGAATTGGTTGACCTCGTGGCTGTAATCGTGTGCATACCTGCAAGATGTCGATGCAAGCCGTAGTGGCCGCATCAGTCGACCTGCAGGAACATGATTGATGATCTTGCAAAGCGACCAATCCGCTGGCAGTCAGAATCTTGTCATCTAGCTCATGCGTCTGCGCTGGCTACTCTTCGGTAGTTTGCTACGAACCCCAAACCCCGCGTCCTCTCCAGAGATCGACTATCTTCTCGCTCTGGAAGTACTACCCAGAAATGTACACCTGGTCCTCGCTCAACAATATCGAGAGTCACCGATTTCTCCTGATTGATGCCGACAAGCGAGCGAAGAATACGTACAGCTCAGGCACAACCATTCACGGCAGATCTTTAAGGGTCACGGCTCTTGCATCCTCCAACGAGCTTAATATCGGTGCCTTTGCCAATCCCCCACGTCTGCTCCTCATGACTATATTGACCCGGCACCTGCAGGCGGCCGGTAATACTGTAAATCCAGCATGAAAAATCGACCTCATCCTGCATTGAAGACAACATCACGAGGCAATCCTTTTTCCGAGCCTCACCTCACCTCATATCCACCACGCCGTAATCGCTTGTGAGATTGACATGAGGAGTCACAAGAAATCACTGCTATATGCATGCAGACTCTTCGGCCACGTTCACATGTTCTGCTTTTACGGCCGGCGTTTTCTCTTTACTTCCCTGTTCTTGATGCCCGTCATCCGGTCGACCTCGTGTCGCGTGTCACTGAGTTCAAGCACGTGCTCACTATATTGGCGGTCAGTGTCTGGATTTCTCTATACCGTACGTATAAGCACAGCCTTCAGGTGTCACAACAGTCTGGGCATGACAGAAGGGGCCTATCTGCCCAGCCTGTGGCACCTGCTTTTTGTCTTAGCCCCCGCAACCACATGTCCTTATTCCCAGAACTGCGAGAGGGCCGCCAGTCACTCTCTTATCTGTGAGAGGGAATTGTATCTCACGGCCAGTCTCTTTCTACCACGAGCAGTAGCAATTGCAGTTTCTTGGGAATCTTTGCCATCACGAATCACTTGATCCTATTCCACAAGCAATTTGGTCTACGACACGCCCATCCTACTCATTATAGTCATATCTCCAGAAATTCTTTAATTCACAACTTCTCGTTCGTGTTTTCTCTCTCTCTCATTCTGACATCCTATGTTATATGTTCTTCAATACCGAACATAGAAATATACCATAATATACAACCATTGGACCTGAATATCAACATCACCAGCTCAGAGCTCCCCATCAAAGTCCGTCGGATCCTTGTACTCGACCGAAAAATGATCCAACCGGCAAAACCCCAATCGAACAACAGAAACAATGCGCACCCACCACCCATACGGTCGGCCTCTTCCAAAGAAAAAACCGTGGGTCCTTTTATATAAAACCTCGCAAAACACATCACACACCAGTGACGTAGAATAAAAATGATTTTAAACGCGGCTTTTTTCTTGTCTTTGTTTTGACAAAAACCCCCATCAGGGTTCTCAAAAAAAAAAAAAAGGAAGCGAAATATCACAATCGGTCCCCCGAGAGGTAACAAGTGAAAAGCACCTTTCCCTCAGCAAAGAGGCATGATTTGACGGTGGTAAGAAACAGTGAGTGTTTGTTGTCATTTCCCCGCTATCAAAGAGACAAGGTTTTTTTTTTATCTAAGTGTTCACTTTGTACTTCTTTCGGAAAAGAGAGATTTGCTGGTCAGCAGCATCACATATTTTCAAGGCCCGACTGCTGACTTCTCAGTAAACCTCTCAGACGCGAGAGAGAAAGTGACAGTAGACTCGTGTGTTGTCTCTGGGTTTCTATCACAGACTCTCGGAGCGGGATAGACTCATCTCATCCCAATCATGGTGAGCTTATCCCCTCTTCGCAGTCAAGTGAATGCTTCTACTTTTCTTCTTTCCCTCCTTCATTTGAGCATGGCGACTCCCTCCTGTGTGCCGAATACACGTAACTTGTTACCATACACCTTCCAGAAATCTGATGTGAAAGCAGGCATCACAGTGCCAACCTCAGCTTCACGCGCCTTCCAAGCATCGTTTTGTGCCAGTACAGGGATACCGTCCCATGACGTGCCGACTCGAGGGTCAGAGATACCATCTGTATCTGCGACGACGGGATCGGATGCGTGTGCGTCGTCCGAGGGCAGAGCGTCAAACTCTAGCACCTCTTCTGGTGTCGTCACGTCTTCGGATTCGGAAACGTCGACGGTGTCTTGGAGTGAGTCAAAGGCTGTGGCATGGGCGAAGCGACCTCCTTGATGTGCTTGAGGTGCGGCGGTCGCGGTCTTTGCCTTGCTCCTCTTCTTCTTTTTGTTCTTCTTTGACTTTTTGCTTGTTGTACCCGACTCGTTCTCCGTGACTTCCAGTTCGGCAGTCTGCTCTGCAAGTGTGTCTTCTGTTGTTGAGATGGTGGATTCTCTTTCTGTTTGTACGCTGTTCTCATCCGGTGACTTGGTTTGCCCCAATACTTTGAACGGCCCTGCGAGAAGGCCCTTGACACTATCGATGGCTGTTCCGATAACGGAAGACACATTACTCTCAGAGAGCTGGACACCGCCACCGTCAAAGTCAGGTGGTGTGGGTGGGGTTGTGTTTTGCTGCTCGTCGTGGTCATGGCTTCCTGCAAGTTCGAGCTTGGCTGAGAGACGCACGGCAACTTCGGCTGTGAGCATACTGTCGTAACCAGCTTCGTGGAACGCTGTAGTGTCGGTATACTTGTTGTACTGTTCGTGAGTGATGACATTGGGCTTCTGTTGTTGTGAGAGCTTGTATGCTATCTGTTCAAGCGATGACTGAGGGTTGATGTCTCCGCAGTTGTGTGTTGCCATGTACTTTGTATCGACAATAATGGGGAACAGCTCATGAATCAGGGAGCCAAACTCCTCGACAGTGTCCGGCAACGCACCAATAAAGGTTCTGTAAAAGTAGATGAGATCGAGGAAAAGGTTGTGACCAAACAGAGCAGTCTTCTTATTGCGAATCATGTGCTTAGCACGACTGAAGCGCGACCTGAGGGCATCTAAGTCGACAAATGCGGGAACGCCTCCGGGAGTTTGGGCAAAAGATCTGACATCAATGCCTTCTGGAGGGTTTCCGCAAAGAGCCTCCACGATCCACCTGAAGCCAGTCTGACGAACAATTCGTTCCTGTACTTCTCTTTTACGCTGAGCCTTGATGTACTCTTCACGCTCGGGGTCAAGTCTGGAAACGCGTACAAGGCCTTTGTTGGGAATGCTGACGAGATCCGAGTACTCTGCACGAATAATCTGATGTACTAGTCGTCTTTCGAAGCGATTCAGCTCAGGGTTGGCATCTCCGTTGGACTCAAGGGGAGCGATGACGACAGAATGGGCACTCGGCTGGCCAGTCTTCAACCAGTCATCGACCTCTGAACGGACTCTACGAAGAAACTCCAGAGCTTGAACGTCCTCGGGCTTGATTTCTATATCGGTGAACGACGACTTGTCGTCCCTCGCAGCAGCTCTGTCTCCTGCGATTTGAGCCTCGTCTCTGGAAAGGTAAGGAACTCCAGATGTAAAGGGAAGATCGAACTTGAAGCCGACGCCGAGCAGGAATTCGGCGGCTCCGCTGTGAAAGGAAAAAGTGCGATCGACATCTAGACGCTCCTCAATGATGGGACTGAGGTTGAAGTTGAAAGGTTTGCAGACATAAGCATTCTGGAGCACATCGTCCTCAACGCATGTGATACCGATCTGCAAGATCTGAAATTGCTCAGCAGCTCTCTTGGTTTCGAGGTAGCGTTCTTGCAGTGAAGGCTTGCCCGGTTTCTCCTTTGCTTGTCCCTTGACAGGCACACCTGAGAGCTCAAGATCGAAAGACACGAAGTGTGCTTCTGCAATGGCTTCGAGAACGTCAAGAAGACGAGTAGGGAAAGAGATCTTGTCTATATCCATGTTGAAGAATGATGAATGATCTGAGCAAAGGGCATGCAAGATCTGAAGTAGAAAAGGTAGGAGCAAGCCAGAGCAAATTGGTGTGTTGGTGACGAATGGAAGAGACAATCAGCAGTGAGGCAAACAGAGACCTACCGCGCTAAGTCAATCGTTTCGGCGCGAGAAGCTCTGAATACAGAGCAGATACCTCGTAGACTATGCCGTTATCTATGCTCACTATACAGCGTGTCGATGATAGAGATGTGGAGGCGCGAGAAAGAGCCTCGCAGACGGGCTGTATCACATGAATGATGCACATGATGATGGTGGAGCGCGTTGGTATGAGGAGGCCCGAGCGTCGGCGTTCTCTCATTGGACCTCGGCCTAAAAGCCGGTGAGGGAGGAATGACCGGGGGTGGGTGAGGATAACAAGATGATGGATAGCCGACCAAGGGGAAAGAGGGTTTCTCTGCTCAAGGACGAAGGCATCGAGCGACATGACCACCGCTTCGACGGCATCAACCATGTCGTATGAGGATTCGCTCTCGTCGCAATATCTGACGTCGTCCATCTCATCGCTGTCGTCGGCGCGCGCCCAGTCATCCCAGATAGCCAGGACCTACCGCCAGGCTGCTCAATTGTTTCTGACCCGCAGACTCTACGAAGCCTTGTCTACCATTGATCCCATCATCTCGCCAGAGGCTCCCGACTCGCCTCTGCAACAGCATGACCAGAGCACAAGCAATGCCGCGCCAGTCGCATTTGCGTCCAAAACAACCAGAGTCAAAGTGTGGAGCTTCTACTTGACATTGCTCAATGCTATCATAGAACTGGGTCCGGAAGAAGGCAAGCTAGTCTTTGGAAGTACCAAGTGGAGAGAATTGGCCGCCTATGCTCGCCAGGGCACTATCTGGGACCTCGTCGTCAACCAAGGCTACCAAGGAAACGAAGGTGTAGTAGATGGCGAGGTTGTCGTCAACCTGTAAGCAACTCCGAAGCTGTAAATGTGTCCGACTTCTGACATATGCCAGTGCCACACTACTTCTAGCACACATGCCGTCGCAGAAGCTGAACCAACAGCGCCTTGAATCATACCTGTCTGCCCTCTCCAACCCCACCTTTGACATTGCTGCCCACATCGAAGGCTCTCGCCAGTCAGCCCGTAATTCTGCCCACTCCAATGGAACGAGCACTCCTCGCGATTTGAATATCCGTCTTAAGCTTCTCGAGCTCTACACCCTCCACGTTCTGCCCCAAAATGACGAATGGGACTACGCCCGGGACTTTATTGGTATGAGCGAGGTTCTGGATGATGAGAGAAGAGATGCTTTCCTGCAAGCACTGCACACATTGAAAGAGGAGAAGGCGCTTGACGCTATCAGGGAGAAGGAGCTGCAGCGTCGTCAAGATGAAGAGATGCAACAAAGACGCATGGAAGAGGAAAGACGACAGAGAGAGGCCGCCAAAGCAGAACAGGAGAAGAGACGTCGCGAGACCGAGGAGAGGCCACGCACGGCTGGCTCGGGCTCCGGCTCGGGCTCGCAGAATAGGACGCCTTCCACCTCCAGCAACCATAGAGCTGGACAGGCAAACAGAAACCTACCTGCATCGAAAGCGAAGCCTGCTCAGAAGAAACCAGCACCTCCTTCACCACGCGTTTATCGCTCTTTCTTTGCATCTATGCAAGCGGCCATACTGAACGCTAGGAAGTCTGTCATGCAGAATCCCATAGTGTTGCTTCGCTTTGTCCTCTTTCTACTAGCTTTCACCTTGGCCTTTGGACGCCGAGATGTTAGAGATAGAATCAGGCGAAGCTTCCAGAGCGGCTTGAATAAAGTCAAGTCGACTGTTGGAATGGGTGTCAAGGTTTCCTACATCTGAGATATATTTCTATAGCAACTAATCGAGCGTCCCTTGACCACGTTCCTCCAGGGGACGCATGATAGCTAAAGTACATTGATGGTCTTGGCGTGGATTTGTTTGGCGCTAGAGCATCACGAGCACTTTTTTGTAGCGCGTACAGACGTGTTGTTGACTTGTCCCTCGACCGTCCTGTCTCCCACGGTATTGAGCGTGAATGCGAGACATCATGTCCAAAGTAACGCTCGCTCTCGTTGCCGCAGGCGGCGCCGCGTTCGGAGCCGCAACAACAGCCGCCCTGTTTCCGCGCAAGACGGCGAGCCCGGTCAACACTCCCGCCGCCGTGCCATTTCCCCCTCCTGCCAACGCGCCCTTGGCTGTAGGCAAGCCCGCGGGTGTCCAGGAAGCTCTGGCTGCTGCTGCTAGACCAGTCGATCCCAATGGACTCTACCAATATGGATTCCCTGGCCCTGTGTCCGACTTGAGAGCCGCCGCGTCCTTGACCTCCGCGTACGATCGTAGAACGAGAAACCCTGCCTGGGTCGTCGAGCACATCACTCCTGCTTCTCTCAAGAACAGCAATGCAGACCGCAAGCACTCTGTCTTTGTCGAGGACGAAGGCATCCCCGAGAAGTTCCGTGCTAAGCTGAAGGACTACTTCCGCAGTGGCTACGACAGAGGCCACCAGGTTCCTGCTGCCGATGCCAAGTGGTCGCAGCAAGCCATGGACGATACCTTTGCGCTGAGCAACATGTGCCCTCAGGTTGGCGAGGGCTTCAACAGAGACTACTGGGCTCACTTTGAGGACTTTTGCCGTCGTCTCACTGGACGTTACCCTTCGGTCCGCATTGTGACTGGACCTCTGTATCTCCCGAAGAAGGAGGCAGATGGAAAGTGGAGAGTGAGCTACGAGGTCATTGGCAACCCTCCCAATGTTGCTGTTCCTACACATTTCTACAAGGTCATCTTTGCCGAGGATGGGAAGATTGGCGGTAATGTCGCACTGGGTGCTTTTGTCTTGCCCAACGCTAGAATCGCAAACGACAAGCCCCTGCAGGACTTTGAGGTGCCTCTTGAGGCTGTAGAGAGGTAACGTTTTTTTCCGGAAGTATGCAGACTGAACTTGAGCTGACCAGAAACATAGAGCATCCGGCCTCGAATTCGCAAACCTCCTGCCTCCGGCTCAGAGAAAGTCGCTGTGCAAGGAGATCAAGTGCTCCATCATTGTCAAGGATTACTCGCAGAGACAAAAGACATTGGCCAATCCTCCCCCGCCTCCAAAGGCAAACTTATGATGAAATTCGAGAAATTGCTCTCGATAATATACAATTATTTGGACCCGCATCTTTCATGTGTATATCGTACAATTGGTCCCTTGGTCCCGTCCCTCTCTTTGTTGTGTTCCTTTGCGTCGTGGAAAAGGCGGTTTACATGAGGCCTCCAGCACCAGCTTCTCTCTGAATGCGGTTGATGTATTGCTTGGAGACGACGTTCCATGCCGACATGTACTTCTCCATGCATTGGGAGTAGCAGGTAGACTCGCCCGAGGATAGGGAAGCACCGGGCTTGGGGATGCAGCGCTCGAAGCAGTGTTCGTTGAGTTTCTAATGCGCTGTGGTCAGCCGTCTGCGGAAAGGTGAAAAGCGGAATTCGATGTGTACCTCGACCAGCTGTCTTGCGTTTGCGACGGCGGCTTCCTGTGCGACTTGTTGCTTGATGGCCTGAGTCTGGCTGGCGCTCGTGGGAGCAGATGATCCTCCGAGGAAAGACATGATGTGTGTGGATTGAGTTGCAATTAGATGCAGCGAGTACAAAAGTTGATATGCACGTCATGCTTCGAGGCCTCTGGGGCGCGCTCGTGTTTGAACTGTTTGGCTTTGCGGAGCTCTAGATGACACGAAACTCCCCCCCCCTTAGCGCTTGGAAATAGAACAGATCGCTATTCTCAATCTTCCAATAGGCCAAGGGTGCCGTTTGTTACTCTTGTCGCATTTCTCTCGTCATGCGATTCTTGTCTCTCGTCGGAGCCGTTGCGGCAACATTGCTGGCTGGCGTGAATGCCCAGGACTCTTCTGATGTCAAGAGCATTCCCGTATGAACATGCGACCACCCACTGAGATGCTTGGACATGTTTCTGACCCTTTGCGCAGCTTCGTACGCATTCTTTGGTGCAGCCTTACCTCGACTCGGATCTCCAGAGCAGATGGTGGGACTTTGGCGGCGACACCATCATCCGCGCCGACAAGCACATTCGTCTTTCCTCGGATCGTCCTTCACAGTCCGGCTGGATCTACTCGAGAGTCCCTTTGACCGCTACCAACTGGGAGATTGAGGTTGAATTCGACATCAACGGCCAGGGCAACCTCTTTGGTGATGGTTTTGCCATGTGGGTGACCACGGATAGAGCGCAACAAGGTCCCGTCTTTGGCAACAAGGACCTGTTTGAGGGACTGGGTATCTTCTTCGACACATACAAGAACAACAGACCCGGTGTTGTTTTCCCTTATGTCATGGCTATGCTCGGCGACGGCCACACTGCCTACGACCAGGCCCACGACGGCAAGGCCAACGAGCTCGCTGGCTGCTCGGTACGCACGCTATCATACACACATCTCTCTCCCCGAATCAGACTGACATCCATCCTAGGCACGCGGTCTCCGCAACGCAAACATTCCCACCAAGGCTCGCGTAACCTACTTCCAGGAGAAGTCGCTCCGCCTCGAGTTGATGTACAAGAAAGAAGACGAATGGACCCCTTGTTTCGAAGTCCCCGGTGTCAAGCTCCCCGGCGTTACCTACCTCGGTTTCTCCGCCGAGACTGGTGAGCTCTCAGATAACCACGACATTGTCAAGGTCGAGACCAAGAATTTGTACAGCCCGAGCGGCGCTGCTGGTACACCAAAGGACTACAGCAAGAATGCATATAGACCGAACCAATACACGAAGAAGGAGGGTGGTGGTTGGGGCTGGTTCTTCCTCAAGTTTGTTCTTTTCGGCTTGGCCGTGACTGGAGCTTATGTTGGATACACCATGTTCCGCGCAAACAGAAGACGAGACAGATTTTGAGAGACGTCATTCCATGTCCATTTTCTTCCGTCACCAGAAACGAAAGAAACAGCATTACAAAAAGCCAGGCTTGCTGGATTGTGTGTGGAAAGACGATAGCAAGAAAAAGCGTTTACATATATTCTTCATACCATCCGTCCTCCATCAACCACCCAGGTCTTGATTTTTTTTGTGTCCTCAGATTTGAGTCTCTCCAATGTTCTCACAGTGACAACCACAGATCTCGATGGTTTGAAGAACGAGCGGGCTGCCATGTCAACTTTGGCTTTTGTATGATCATCACCGGACGACTTGGGTTCCCTTCTTTCCTCGACCTTGATCCTCATCCCTTCCCCATTCTCCGTCCAAGTCTTTTTTTTTTTCTCTCGTTGCAAACAAATTCCTCCTCTTTTTACTTCCGAGACCTGACTTTTAATGAAAAAGGAGGGAAACCTTTTGCAAAGATCATGCCAGTTCCAAAAGGGAGGGGGGGATGAAAGCAAGCAAAAAGACGGAGCCAGCGCTTCCGATTGAAAACTATCTTGTGTTTTTCATCCTCATTGCCAGTCCTTTGACAAATCCTCTCTGCTCATAAAGAACAGTGAGGTGTCAAGGACTTTGTTTTGGCTCGAGCGAGAAATTATGTATCGTCAAGCAGCGCCTTGGGATGCTAAACACATCTTTTTGTTTGCCCACTCATCCTCCCCCATTCCTCTTCAGCATAATTCTAACCAAAAGGCTTCCCACAAGTTCAAAAAGAAGAAGAAGATCCAGATGGCAAAAGAAAGAGCAAAGAATCGTTGAACAGAAGAAAAAAAAAACACAGTGAAAAAGAAGTGAACGAGGGGGAGAAGCTGAGGCAGATTGAGAGAAAGATTGAAGGGAAAAAGGTAAACTTGCACGATGAAATGGGCGGGAGATGCGATATGCGTTTTGTTAAACCCCTACGATCTCTGTTCTTTTCGTTCAGTCATGTGAGCGAGCGAGCTTGACACGTTCGCCTCGGTGGACCCGAGGATACGGCATGCTGCATGGCTTCTTTAGGGGACTGTGATGTGTGATTGTTTCTCGGCATTGGGGAGTTGTTTTCGCATGCTAATGTTTCGCGACATCATTAGTACAATACTTTGATCAAAGATAACAGTGAGAGGGAAATCGAGAATTTACCGCTTCTGTGCCGAAATTCTGTGTAGAGGTTCCACCTGGAGTAGTTTGGGTAGAGGTAGAGAGGACTCGATGATGTGAGGATCTTATCAGCCCCTTTGCGCGTGTGGTGCGCCACATCTCCCATGTGACTCGAGACGCATCAGCCACAGGAAACAAGCCACATTTTCTCGAATATCGACGTCAATCTTGCTTTCACGTGCTTTTGTGTCACTTTTTTCTTCTAGTATTCTTTCCAGATATATTTTTCTACACAGTCCGCCTTGAAAGAAGAAGGTAAGGCGTGTCAAGGATGTCGTCGACATGGATCGATCAAGTCAGATCATCGCATAATCTGCAATTGGCAGCTACAGCAGTCGCCTCTGGCTTGTTAGTGGGAAGTGCCATCCTAGGACTTCAAAAGGCGAAGCAGCAACATCGAGTTTCTGATCTCAAAAGTTCAATTCCTGATCTTGACAAGGATGAGAATGTTGTAAAGGTAGGTTTTCGTGCGCTCATGATGGTTTTATTTTGGAGTTGGGGAATGTTTTATTGACTAGGATGATAGATTAACGATTTCGGTGGTGCTATGCAAGATGCTTCGAGATCGACGAAGGAGGATGAGAGAAGTGCTGCTCTTGCTGCGAGGGCGCGTTTGGGAGATTATGATGAAGGTCGGTCTCTACCTTGGAATGATTTACAAGCATGATTCTGACAGCATGTGGTAGAACTGATCCTCGAACAATTGGCTCGTAACCGTGTCTTCCTCACTGATGACGGCTTGAAGAAGCTACGCAATGCTTTCATCATCATTGTTGGAGTCGGCGGTGTTGGCTCTCACGCCGCAGCCGCTCTTGCCAGATCTGGAGCTGGAAAACTACGAATCATCGATTTCGACCAAGTCACTCTTTCGTCCTTGAACAGACACGCTGTAGCCACACTCGCAGATGTAGGAACACCAAAGGTTCACTGTTTGCGTAAGCGTCTGGAGCAAATCACCCCCTGGACACACTTTGACTGCAGAAACGAACTCTTCGTCGGCTCAACAGCAGAAGCGCAATTAGCCCCGTGGGCAGATGGTCACAAGCCCGACTTTGTCATTGATGCCATTGACAACATCGACAGCAAAGTCGACTTGCTAGCTTACTGCCACAAGCACAACATCAAAGTCATTTCCTCCATGGGCGCAGGTTGCAAATCCGACCCAACCCGCGTCTTCCTCGGCGACATCTCCACCAGCACAGACGATCCTCTGTCCCGCTCTACAAGACGCAGACTACGTGCAAAGGGCGTCAAAGACGGCATCCCAGTCGTCTTCTCCAGCGAAAAGACCGCACCTGGAAAAGCACAACTCCTACCTCTTTCCGACGAAGAACACGCAAAAGGCAGTGTAGGCGAACTCGGCGTCCTCCCAGAATTCAGAGTCAGAATCCTACCTGTTCTAGGCACCATGCCAGCCATCTTCGGTCTCTGCGTTGCAAATCACGTCATGCTGGCCATCAGTGGCTACCCCCACGAATACCTCCCTTCAAAGTCAAGAGACAAGATGTACGACGGCATCTTGGCCAGTCTGCAAGGCTCCGAAGAACGCGTAGCCCGCCACCTTTCCCAAGACCCCCTCGGTCTCCGCATTCCCATAACTGCAGAAGACGTCGGCTACGTGGTGGAAGAAGTCTACCGTGGACGTAGTGTCATCTCTGGTCTAGCCAGCCGTCTCGCACTGACCCGCTGGCGAAAGCCCGAAGCTGGCTTTGTGGATACGAGTATTGCAGGGCAAAAGAGTTCGAATATCCAAATCAAGGATTTGGTGTGTATGACAAAGGATGAAGTTGTTCAGCATGAGAAGTTGGTTCTTAAGGGAGACAAGACTCCTGAGGAGGTTTATGATGTCAAGGTTGTGAAGTTGGTGGAGGAGAGGATGAAGGAGGAGGCAAAGTACCGCGATTTGAGATAGAGAGGAGACGTACTAACATATATGTGCTGCTAGAATACAACGATCTTCGCTTGTTAAATGTCTTTCCTTTCGCGTGTTGTCCTGGCGTGCTGTTGGGTGAATGTCGAGGCCGAAATCACCGAAACTTCATTCTCGGTGATTTGTTCGCAGGTAACAACAATGGTCTCATGTCAACTCACAACACTCGCGCAGAGCATGAAGCCACTTTCCCATCCATTGTGTAAACATAGAAAGCACCCATTCTCGCATGAGGATATGATAACACGACATCATTTTCGCGCCAGGGTCGCACTCTCAGCTGATGTATATCTAAACACAACAAACTCCATCCTGCAACCGCATCCTCCATCTGACAACCTTCCACAACCCATCTACGACGAACCCACGTGTCTCTCACAAACTCCCAGCAAATCATCGTTGTCGATAAATCCTGCCCCTTATCCACCACCTCCAACAACTTCCCAAGCTCCATCGAAAGTTGAAACTCATCCCCAACTCACCCCCATCGCCAATTCGCCCCTCATACAGCATCCCCTCCCTCGTTACATAACAAGCGAAAAGAAACCGCCCGAACTAAGCCTCACTTTTCCCTATACGTACCCTTCTTAATATGCATCACATGAGCAAGAAACAAAGAAAAAAACTCTCCCCAGACGCCTTCCCCTTCTTCACTTTTTTAGCACTCGCGTTTGCCCGCTCCCGCTTTTACGAAAAGTAAAACCCCAGACGCCTCTTTCTACTGCAAAAGACATCGATGGCGGAATGAGGCGCCGCTTCTTGCCAATCATCGTACTCGCAAGTAAAAACCCAGCCACAAAACGTCTCTCTCTGTAGAGAAAGTCAGAAGAGTGCGGGGAAAAAAAGTATCCTAGAAACTCTACAGAAGGCGTAAGAACACACTTCGGCAGGATTGACTAGATTTCGGCAGGGGGGCGGTTTCTCCATCCCGGCTATTGGTTTTTTGATGGAATTAGAGACCTCGGGTATATACGCAATTCACCTGCCACAAAAAGAACTGTTCTTTATACTTTACCTGTTTCTTCACCTCCGCGAGGTTTGCGAAGAAAACTCATGATGTTTATGGCTGGGAGGATTATGGCTAGAGAAAAA